CAGCATCAATTATTGAACACTTCCCAGTTTGGTGTATGTTAAAATGTGGGGGAAAATGACCGATGGCAATAGTAAGGCACCATATATAGTAAGATGTGCCACAGTCTTATTATGACAGAAACTCACTTCTAAGTATTAGTTAGGGTGAAGGGTTAGGGTGCTGTAAAAAAGAGACCCAACAAATCAGTGGCTTGGAATACAAAAAGAAGTGTATTTCTCTCTCACTAACAGGTGTGAGGTGAGCATTCAAGTAAGTGGGGTAGAGTTGCTACATGCTAAATTCAGAAACCCAGTTCCTTTTATCCTGCTGCTCTGCCAACACTAAGCTGCAATATCCATGACATACCTACACTAAAAATGATTCCTTGTTTACCTGAAACTCAAATTTAACTGGGTGTCTTGTGTTTTATCTGGTACGTCTACAGTAGGATATTGTATAGTCTGCAACCATCAAAGCTCGATTCCTACCGGTTATAGCAGGTGAAAGGGGAAAGAAAATGGGGTGAAGGCATACCTGCTCCCTGAGGTCGAGGTCCAGAAATATCACATACCATTTCTGCTCATTTCCCATTGGCAAGAATTTAAATCATATGATTAGACCTAACTGCAACAAAGACTGGGAAATGTTGGTTAGTTAAGTGCTCCTTCAAAAAAAAAATAAGTGAACAGATTTTAGAGGACAACCAGCAGTCTTCATCATAAGAACCTCCTGGATTAATCTTCTTTTATTTTTTCTTTCACATCTTTATGTTTTTGCTCTACATTTTGGAACTTTTATCTTTGAGGTGATCTCTTGAACATCTTATTTTATCTTACGTTTAATTTCCAAAAGATATTTCTTATTTTCTAATTGTTCCTTTCCACTAGCAACCTTTCATGTTTTATGGAAATAGTATCTTCTCAGATCTTTCTGACGATATGATTAGAACTTCTAAAGATTATACTGAACCATTATAACTTTCTGTTTTCTACAGTCACTTATTCTGTTTAATCTTCTCTCTCTCTCTCTCTCTCATGCTTCTAGCTGTCTTAATAATCCTAGTGCTCCTGGTTGCCTGTTTATAAAATAACAGACCAGCCCTGGTCATGTGGCTCAGCTGGTTGGAGCACCATTGCTTATACCAGAAGTTTGCAAGTTCGATCCTTGGTCGGGGTGCACATATGGGGGTAAACCAATCAATGTTTCTCTCTCATGTCAGTGTTTGTTTCTCTCTCTCTCTCAAGTCAATATACATATTCTTGGGTGAAGATTAAAAAAAAAACAGACCAAGTTTATTAATTCCAGTAATTGAACTGGTTTTCTCTATCTGTTTCCCTGATACAGTTACCCTCTTGAACAGGAAGTCATGATGAGTAAGGTTTGCTGGCAGGCTTGACTGTAGCGTCAGTGGCTGGGTGGCTGTTGGAGGGGTTGGGGGAGGGTTTGTAAATGGCAGAATGACAAGTCTTATCCTGGTGTGCCGACAGCACACTGAACACACTGGATTTCTCCCAGACACTTATTGGATTTCTATACAGTGAACCTTCTGCGGTTTTGCTACATATGCACATGCACACAAGCATGTGTGTACATGTGTTGCTCATCCGGAGGCAAGTGCCTGTCGCCCTCCACTCTGGAGATGAGGGGGTGTGAATGACTTGTGTGAGCTTGTGCATGGACAGACCTACAAACCCCTAGCTTTTAGGTCCACTTTCTAGCTGTCCTCAGTACTCGTTAATTATGAACTCAGTGCCTCTCCGGGATTTTGCCAGGAAGACTGGCTCGCACTTCCATTGCTTCTGTCTGGGCTATGGCTTTCTTCACTCAGTTAAGCCATCATTGTATGTCATCTACTTCTATAAATTTGTCTTTGCACCTGACACCCCTCTACCCTGCCATTCTCTTTGCTGTTATATGTTTATAACCTTTTCTGTTGTTGGGGGGGGGGGGGGTCTCAGAAGAAAGGTGAGACAATCACTTGTGCTCAGACTACTGTCTTAAACCTTTAATGTTACATGCTTTGCAAATCTCCAAGAACATTTGTCTATTTTGCAACTGCTTTATGGAGTGGAGGCACACTGTTAAATACGGAGGCCTTTGTTCCGCTGAGCTCCTTGATGTGTTTGTGTGTACAAAGTGGCATCAGGGGCTGGGGAAAGCTGAACAGCTTTTTATAATAGAGTAAAACACCCTGGAGTTTCCCGGGCAACCTGGGAGAAAGCAGGTAAGGGCAGTGATGGGAAGAAAGAGGAGAGCAAGCTAGTGATATGCCATGTGTAACCCCCTCCCCTAGATTCCCAATCTCTCAAAGGGATCCTAAGCTTACAAAATGCCTGGTGTGACAGAACTCCTCAGGGGAGCTGATGAAGGTTCTCAGTTCTGTGACAGGGCTAAGGGGGACAAAACAGAGAAGGCTCTGTAGACCACGGGAACCTTTGGCAAGAGGAGACCAGAGCATATATCCCAGGAACCTGCAGAAACGGTGTGTAGGGTTTGAACTTCCCCATTCTGTGGAACTGGAAAGGCTCTGAAACAAGAATACAGAGCTCTCGGTGGGTTAGGAGAGCCCCAACTGGCACTTGCTAACTTGACCTTTTTAAGTTCATTCCCCACACAAACCTGAGTGTTCTTCCTAAAGGGAGATGTGATCATGACGTTCCCCAGCTTTAAATTATTGTCCAAAGTCCTAAATTTATCCTGCCATCCAACACCCTTCATGATCCGGCCTCCATCTACCTTATCAGCTCTATCTGCTCCTCACGGGACACTCCTGACTACATCAAACCCTTGCCCATTCCCTAAAACACTAAGCCTTCCCATCCTCTTCTTTACCTAGTTAATACCTATTCATTCTTCAACACCAAATTCAATTATCTCAGCCTTCTCCCCTACAAAGAGCTGTTCCCACCTGTGTTTGCCAACACCTCGTTCAGAGGGACATTTCTCTTCTTCTGGGATCCTAGAAATGACTTATGTATTATTAACTTCGGAGCCAAAATGTCCAATATAGGCCAAGCTCAGGCCCTCCCCAGGGCTCCTACAGAGCCCTGAGAACTGTAATGACATCTATCATCCTGCATTGGAACTCTGGGTTTATGTGCCAATCTGCTGCACTCAGAGAAAACAGGAGCCATGTCTTCTTTGTTGTCAGTATTCCTAGTAGCTAGGAGAGGAGGGAGGGAGAGGAGGAGGAAGGGAGAGAAGAAAAAATGTAGGCAAAAGGGAGAAGGGGGAGAGGAAAAGAGAATGGAGAAAATAAAGGAAGCTAACAAAAAGGGAAGTCAAAGAGTGAATAAACTATTAAGACTCAAGTCTGGATAACACAGAAACCCTAGCCCCTGAACTTGGTCAAAAAAGGGTGAATAAGCCCTGGCTGGTGTGGCTCAGTGGGTTGAGTGTCAGCCTCCAAATCAAAAGGTCACAGGTTTGATTCCCAGTCAGGGCACATGCCTGGGTTGTGGGCCACCTCCTCAGTTGGAAGCGTGTGAGAGGCAACCAATTGATCTTTCGCACATCAATGTTTCTCTCCTTCTCTTTCTCCCTCCTTTTCCCTCTAAAAAAAAAAAAAACAGGGGGCAAATGAGATTGATCAGCAAGTACTGTCCCATGATCAAAGTAGGTGCCTTGTAGCAAAGTCTCTCAAAAAGTCACAGTAGTTGTCACTAAGGCTCTAGGTTTAAAGGGTAATGATAGCAAGTTCCCAGACTGAGAGGAGACAAGCAGGCCTAGCTTGGTCATGGGTCTAATGAAGAGCCTGGAATCACACATATCTGATTTGGATCCCAGCTAAGTCATTAGGTCAGGTCATTTAACCTCTCAGAATGTTTTAATCTTGAAAATGTGGACACTGCTCCATAGTTATGGAGATCAAAGGTAATAGGTGTTCAATAACTGGTGCTCAGCAAATGTCTGATAGATGGTGACTTTTATTATTCGGGATGGTAAGAATTCACACATGCCAGTTTGGTGGGTCTATGTTTAAAATACTTTGAATGGAGATTTTTAAGAAGCAGAAAATGTATGCAAAATAAACATGCTTTGTAAACTGTCAAGTGCCATACAATGTTAAGGATCATTTGAGAAGTCTTCTGTTATAGTTGGGAAAACATACAGGTTTTGGATTTGGGCAGAAGTAGGTTTAGTTCCTGACCTTGCCATTTACTTGCCCCGTAACCTTGGATAAGTCATTTTCTGTCAGCCCGTTTTTGCAACTGTCACATGTGCATAACGCTACCTTCACAGGGTTGTTGTTGAGAATTCAATAGGATGAAGTGTGTAAAGTTCCTGGGTGGGTAGCGGGGTCCCCTATAATAGGTCAGGTTATGGTGGATGTCAGTTCCAAGTCTGGTGCCACAGTCACCTTCTCCCAATTGGCTACATGTGAAGATGGCCCTTCACGCCAGAGGAGCAGGACCACAGAGTGGCAGGAAGTAGAGAGGGATCTTTTGTATTTATTGGAGGAAATCTGGGTGAACACTAAACTTCTACATAGAAGACACTAAAACTTGCACTGTGGGAACAGGCCTAAACCAGGGCAAGAAGCTGGGAATGACCCCTGCTAAGTTGCCCCAGACTTGGACACTAAATTATTGCTGCTAAGGGCAAAGACTCTCATTATGGGTTCATCTTATCTCACCCCTCACGCCCTACTCCCTCCAATTGTCATTTCTCCTAGATACAGAGTAAGTGCTCACTCAATAATTTAAAGTTGAAAAGGTTGGCACTAACTTCGTATAGAGCAAACAGTCCAGGGCCCCATAAAGAGGCCATACTAGCTCCCAGCCCCAGGCAATCTCTTGGTCCCAGGTAAGACCCCTAAGTGGCTGCTTCTTCAGAGCTGGCAAGGTGAATGTAGTGAAGAATATCTGTGAGTTCACCTTCCTTCACTTCTGTTTCCTCATCTTATTCCCTTGAGGGTCGCTGTGACAACTAAATGAAATTAAGAATATAAATGTGACCAGTAGAATCTATGGCATACAGAGGATGCTCAATTAATGTCACTTTCTTCCCTTTCTCCTTCCTCCTCAAAGGCCAGGGACTCAGCCTGCCTTCCATTGCTTTTCGGAGCAGCCACCATTGTTTCCTTCTTGAAATTCAACTTTCTTCCAGAGCAGCTGCAGAGAGACCACATCCCCAGCACCCCACTTCTTTGATGCCGCAAATAAGTACACAGGTCCTTTGCATTGAAGGATTTTACTGCTAATCACTCAAACAGATGCAGGGTTGGGGTGGGGATAACAAGTCACACACAGGTGGCAGTGTGAAGGTCCCTGGATCACAGCTCCCTGAGGGCTTCCCTTTCATTTCTAAGGCAGGGCCTCGGACCTCTTTTCCAGAGCAAGGAGGCCCCATCCTTTGGGAAGACTGCTCGTCCCAGCCCAGCTGGGGCACAGCAGATGGGAACTTAAGCAGGCCACCGCACTGTGCCCTAAGCAGTTCACACACGGTTTGGAGGATCTTCAGACAGTGATGCCCAGTGCATAGGTACTTCCTCAAAGGCCAGGAATCCTGGCCCTAATGAAATGAGCATGTACAAATCATATCCTATTTCTCTTTCACCCCAAGGAGATGAAGCCAAGACCAGACCTTCTGACTTTCCAAGGCAAGAAACTGTCTTGGAAAGCGGAAAGAACTTTTACTGAGTCTCTTCTCAGGGCATCCTGAAGATCCTGGCTTCAGAGGCAACAGGAAACCATTCTCTAAAGTGGGGTGAAGGGGTTGAGGTCAAGGAGGCAGCAGCAGATCCTAAAGATCTTTCTACACTCCCAGTGGGTCTCTCACTCTCTCTCCCTCACTCTCCTTCAGCTGGCATCTTTCCCAGCCTGCTCGCCCATGTGCGTTTTCTGGTGGCGGATAAGGTTGGAGCTCCGGGAGAAGTGTTTCCCACACAGAGTGCACCGGTAGGGCTTCTCCCCTCTGTGGGTCCTCTGGTGGGCTCCAAAGTTGGAGATATCGCTGAAGGTCCGCCCACACTCGGCGCACTCGTAAGGCCTCTCACCTGTGTGGGTGCGGTGGTGCACCCCAAAGCTGGAGCTGTTGCTGAAGCTCTTCCCACACTCACAGCAGATGTAGGGCGCGGGCTCAAGATGGGTCCGGTGATGCACGGCCAGCGTGGCACTCTGGCTGAAGCTCTTGCCACAGATGTCACAGCGGTATGGCCGCTTGCCCAGGTGATCTTGCTGGTGCGTGGTGAGATCTGAGCGCCGCCGAAAGCTCTCCTGACACTTGGGACATTTGTAGTGCTTCTCTTCCAGGTGGATCCGCTCGTGCCGGATGCGGTTGGAGCTTCTCGAGAAGCTCTTGCCACATTCAGAACATTTGTAAGGTTTCTCGCCTGTGTGGATCCGCTGGTGCGTTCTCAGGTTGGAGGTATTATTGAAGGTTTTGCCACACTGGGCACATACAAAGGGCTTCTCGTCAGCCTCAGGCCTTGGCTGAGCAATGGGGTCCCCTGGCTCTCCAGTGGGTACAGTGACTCTCTGCCATGGCTTTTTTGGATGGATCCCTTGTGGCCCCTCTGACTGGCTCTCTTGCCCACGCTCTGTCTCCCCAGCTGGAATCCGAAAACCCTCTGAGTCATCCACTCTCCAAGGCTTACCCCGCTCCCCTTCCTCAGGCAGGTGCTGCTCTGGATCCTGCTCCTTTTCACTGCCCATCTCCGAACCCTGGGAATGAACACAAATGGCCAACACCTTTATTCCTTGGGTCGGGCCACGCTACAGGGAATCATCTCTTCTGTCTGAAGGGATGTACATCTCCCCCACGGAACCAGCCATCAGAAGTAACCTCAAGTAATGGGAATAACTGCCTAGAGTGCCTTTACTGACTAACTTTCAAGTGAACAAACGTCCAGATATTTAAAGTGACCAAACCAGAATAAAAAGAAGGCACCGTTTTGTCCACCGCCGCCACCACCAAGTATTTGTGCGATCTGAATAATATCATTTTTATTATACCACTAAACAATAACGGTCTAGACTATAATTTATGTGCAAGTAAAGGAGCTTCCATTTTAGAATGAGATCAGTTTTTCTGCCCAACTCTAAGTTAACTGAAACTCCTTTTATCTTTAATATTTTTTGAAACAACCTTCTTTAACAGTATTCATCTAGTTGCCTGCTTTCAAAATGAACATAACAGGACCTCTGACTCTGGAGGCTCCCCTAGTTGTTTACAAGGCGAGCTTTGAAGCTTTTTAAGTGCTGTACCACCCTTGGCCTCCCTTCTTCTCCCCTTCCCTCCCCTCCCCTTCCCTTCCTAGGACCGCACCATATTCCAGCAACTAAAGAGTTTACACCTGAGACCTCCTGCAGGGCACTCAGGCTGTGTCAGTTCTGACTGGTTGGTACACATTTCCACTCTCAAACACCACATACAGCACATGCACACACACACATACGGACACCACATGCACAACCCTCCCCACACACCAGACGCACCCAGCCACATTCTCACACCACAAGCACGTACCACACTGAGTCACACAGACATAGCCACCCCCAGACACATACACACACTCACACCACACTCTCACAGCACATAGCCACATGCATGTATATCAAATACACCATACACAACCCTTCCAACATACAGCCACATACATGGGTACACAATCACACAGCATACACACACAGCTATACTCACACCACATGCAATCTCATACACACACACGGCCACACACTCACATGCTGCATACGCACCCAGGCACAGACACACAAACCCCCCCACACACACACAGTTACACACACACAGTGCCTAGCACTGTGTCTACTTATGCAAATATCAGTAAATGCTTGCTAAGCTGCACACTTTCAGGTCCTACAGCCAAGGGCAGGGAACGAGGAGAAAACAAAAGTACTTCTGTTAAGAGGAGAGTCTGGCGTTTCCTCTAGACCTTGAAGAAATAACATGTCAAAAGGCAGAGGGGGCTCCAAAAGATACCATACAGAGTGACATGAACAAAGGGATGAGGGAGGGAGGCACAGACAGTGATAGGACACTGATGATAGAAAATGAATGACTGTTACTTCCTTCAAGTCAGCAAGTGTTATGGGAAAAGAGCAACAGAAAGTACTGGAAGGGGCACCGACTACATTGAGGGTTGGATCCAATGGTGACACATACTGTCTTTATAACACTGCAAATTATTCAGCTACTCTGAGCCTCAACTCCCACATCACTAGAATCGTGATCACCTACCTACACTGCAGGGCTTTGCGTTAGAGAAAATGCCTGTAATACGCTCAGTGTACTGTGTGGCACTTACTAGTCATTCAGTGAATGACAGCTGCTGTTACAATTGTTAAAGACGCTATTTCCTAGACCCGTCGAGAATATAAGAATAAAAAGATCCCTTAAGTGATCTTATTAGGAAAAACAATTTTTTTAATTAAAAAATGGTACAAGACATATATAACCTAAACTGTGAAATAGGGATAGAGCCTCAAATCTTTAAGAAGTGGGGTCATAAAACTTTTTCTGTAAAGGGCCAGAGAGTAAATATTTAGTAAATATTTGGGGCCATAGGACTCTGAGTTGAGTAACTACAACAGAGTTACTGCTGTTGTATTGTAAAAGCAGCCATAGACAATACATAAGCAAATGTGGCTGTATTGTAATAAAACTTTATTTAAAACAAAAAGAGGCAAGCAATAGTTTACCAATCTTTGTTAGAAAGTGTTTCTTGAGGAATCTAGCTAAGCAGTGTTTAAAATAGGCTCGTTTCACTTTCAAATATGCAACTAAACATTAGAAAGTTTATTCCTTGACACTTATTCACTGTTTCCTGACCACCCTTTTAAAAATGAGAACCCCCTCCCACACTCTCCGTCCTTCCACCTCACAGCACTTCTCACCTTCTAACATTGCATTTATTTACATGTCTCTCATTTATTACGTCTCCTCCTGCTGAAACATAAGTCCCATGAGGGCCGGGGTCTTTGTTTTATTCACTAATGTAACTTCAGCTCCTGGAGTAGTGGCGGTCGATCCCAAAGGAGAGCAGATCCCTGATCAGTATTTGTTGAGTGAGTTGCACAAATGAAGGCCAGGCCTGTCTGCAGACGCACGTCGCGCCTGTGTCCGCGTTCGCCCACCATTCCTCAGCAATCTCTTCATCCCTGCCCACGTCCTCCTTCATGCTCCTGCAGAATCTCGTACTTGCTTTTACTGGGATTTGCAATTATCCCATTACATGTCTGTTTCCACTCGTAGTTTATAAGCCACTTGAGGGTAAGGACTGGGTCCTTTGGGTAATCTCTCCCCAGCCCAAGGCCCAGTGCTCAAATGTTTTTAGATGTATGAGTGAATGTGATCTTAACTCACTCCTTGCCCCTGCCCGCCCCACTTAGGGCTCCATGCATTGAGCTCCACAGCCTCCACTTGCTTCCAATCCTGCTACTCTGAGAACATGCACTTTACTAAGTGCTGACTCTACCTAGGTCTGAATGCTAGGTCAAAATAAGAGCAAAAAAGATTTAAACTACCCTCAAACAGTTTATGGTACAGTACAGTGAAACAGGCTGTGAACTCCAGAAACTCTTGTACAATAGAAGGTTAAGTTCCAGGGGAACAGGGGCTATGCCTTAGTCACTGTTGTACCCACTCCTCAGCGCCTCATACAGAAGCGGGCACACTATACAGGAACCAATAATAAGAGTTAACATTTTAAAGCTCAAACCAAGTGCTAGGCCCTGGACTAAGCACTATATATGAATCATCTCATTTCATTCTCACAACTATGTTAGGGATGAGGAAACTGAGGCTCAGAGTAATTGTAATTTGCCCAAGGGCACCCAGCGAGTGAGTGGCAGAACTGGGACCTGTGCCCACCACTCCAAAGCCAGTGCTTTTATGCACCACACTAGTGTTGGAGGGAGAAAAAGGGAGGGAGAGAGGAAAGGAGGGAAGGAGAGGGAGAAGGAGGGAAGGAGAGAGGGAGGGAAGGAAGATGAGAGGCAGGGAGGAAAGGAGAGAAGAAAAAACAGTGCCACAGGATTTCACACCTGCATATCTCCCTGAAGAGATCAAGCATGAGCAGCTTCATGGAAAAGGTGGTATTCCGCCTAGGACCTGCAGAATGGGTGACCAAGATCGGGACTCACAGAGATGGGGAACCCACTATCTACTGAGAAGCCAGTAGCAGGTAAAGCACAGAGGCACTTTCACATTTCAGAGATTTGGGGAAGAAAGGGGCCCATCCAGCTTGTCTTCCCGGGAGGCTTGGAGGTACAAGGAGGACCAAGGGTGGAAGGGATTCTGACAGCAGAGGAGGAGCCAGGTCTTGGTAAGAGCCAAGGAGACGGGCTGGTCAGATGCTGCTGCAGACCAAAGGCCTAGGCTAGAGGGAAGAGACCAAGCTGGAAGTTGGTCTGAAGGGCCAAAGTCTGGATTCTTTAGGGTCAAGTCAGGAACTGGGGGAAGGAAGGGGTAGAGAAGCTTGGAAAGACCAAAGAAGATGGAACTGTACAGGGTAAACTGGACAACGGGTCAGAGATAGAGGGGGATCAAAGGAGTCAGAGGGTCAGAGAAGATGGTCAAGAGACAGGGCGCAAACGCTGCAGTCAGAGGTGCGAGGGGACGGGGCCCTAGAGACTGGGCTGTGTGTTGTGGGCAGGGAAGAAGCCCAGGGCGGAGTTCGAGGGTACGAGCGTTCTGGAGGACAGGAGCTGGGTTCAGAGATGCGGACGGACTTGGGCCGGAGGGGTGAGAGAGGAGCGGCTGACCCCAAAGGTATGGTCAGTGGCAGGGGGGCAGGAGTACTCAAGGGCTAACAGAAGGGCCGGGGTTTAAGGACTGGAGCCAGTAGCCTGGCGCGTGGGCCGGGGAAGGTGGACAGGGGTCGGGATCACAGGGCCCCATTTGCCCCTACACTGAGTCCGGGGAGCGAAGCCACAACCTCCGGCTCCCCGGAGAGATGGAAGGAGCCATGCTCAGAGCCCCCGCGAAAACATGTCCGCCTCCCCCGTGTCCCCGGGCCCAACCTGCACGCACCTCGCTCCCGCCGCTCGGTCAGGGACAGCGCTGCCTCGGTGGGCCGGGGGAGGAGCCGGAGCCGGAACCCAGAAAGGACCCACCCTGACTTTCCAGGATTGGTTGCTGAGAACTGTCTTTCTTTTCCAATGGTTGTACTAGCTGCCACACCGCAAGAAACCCGAGCGGGACCGCCAATAAGCTTTGGACTCGGCGGTGGCCTGCTGGGAGTTGTAGTCCTGAGGAAAACTGTAGACTCGACGATGAAAGGTGCCAAGTTTGGAGCCCAGCGGTGGACAGTGGGTTTTCTCCTAAGGTCGTCAGATTTCCTCCTGCGCTTTGGCGTTAAAAGCCCAATGCACCGGGCCACTGGTCTGGGAAGTTGTAGAATATGTAGAGCTGACCTACATGACCTCCATGAGTTGGTGACTTGCCAGTTCTGTAGACATCCCGCAAAGCCTGGAGTCCCGAGCCTCAGTCGAGGTTCGTAAAGGTTGATAATTTAAAATCAGACTGTTGGCCTGGAAGGGAGTTTAAAGGTCAACTAACCCAATCCACTTTGAGAAGCTAAAGGTTCCCTGTCCTAAGACCACCTCTGGGTCTTCTAACACCCTTGCAGAGGGATTTTTCCGAGTCCGATGTAGTGAAACCTGGCTGTTGTTCATCAATCCTGATGGAACAAGACCACTAACGTACTGTATAGCGAGGATTAGGATTTTTTTTTTCAGGTTTCACTTTTAAAAGAAAAAAGCCAAAATGTATAATATAAGTAGGCTAAACGAACAGGCTTCTCATATCTGCACGGTATTTCAGTGCAAAGAGTATTGTCTTCAGAGCTAGATAAATCAGATTTATAATCCCAGTTCTAGCACCTAGCTATTTTGGAGCAGCGTTTTCCTCCCCTTTAAAATTCCTGGCAGAATTGTTGTAAGGATATGTCAAGCTTCTGCCTCCACAAAAGTCAGGTTTCTTTCCTGCTGGTAAATTCTCTTGGGTGAAGCCAGTGTAAACAATGTTAGTTTTAAGACTGAATATTCAGGAAACTAAGTTTGAAACTGAATATGGATTAGTGAAATATAAATACCCCACACGCGCTATTAGTTTATAAATCGATTTAAATAAAATGCTGGGAAGGTAGACTCAAATAAAAGTGGCTTTATTTTCAACTGTGATTAAAGCTTCCTTGGGCAGATTTAAGGCCGTTTGGAAACCAATCCCATAATGCATTTTTCTCTCATTGTCCCAAAGACTTTTCCTGCAACTCCTCATTCACGATGAAAATAACAACAATGAACACCGAACTTTTATTTAAGAAATATACAAAAGCAAATAAAATATTCTACTCAAGCATTGCAGTAGTTAATTTTATGTGTCAACTTGACTAGGCCACTGGGTGCCCAGATAGTTGGTCAAATATTCTAGATGTTTCTGCAAGAGTATTTTTGGATGAGAAGATTAACATTTAAATCATTAGCTTAAGTAAAGTAGATTGCCCTCCCTAAAATGGGTGGGCCTTATCTAATCAGTTAAAGACCCGAATAGAACCAAAAAGCTGACCCTTCCTTCCCCTAGTGAAATTCCTTCAGACTGGGACAACCACTTTTTCCTACCTTCAGGCTCAAACTGAAATATCAGTTCTCTCTGGGTCTCAAGCTTGTCAGCCTTCAAACTGGAATCACACCATAGGCTCTCCCTAGTCTTGGGCCTCCAGACTTCAACAGGAACTAAATCCTTGACTCCCCTGGGTCTCTCCAACCTGCTGACTAACCCTGTAGAAATTGGGACTAGCCAGCCTCCATAATCACATGAGCCAATTTCTTATTCTCTCTCTCTTTCTGTGTGTGTGTGTGTGTGTGTGTGTGTGTGTGTATTCTTTTCTAGGAAGAACCCTGACTAGTATGGGCACTAACAGAGTTAAAAGAGAGAACTTTTGACAGAAAGAACCAAGTACCCATCTGCAAACCCATCTGATAGCTCATCTCTCCAAAAAGAGGCCAGACCACATATGTAGTATGACTTGAAAGAGACTAGACTTCTTTCTGCAATCCACACCAAAAAAATCAGATTCATTATTTTATCCTCACACCTGGTCTATCAAATTCCTATTTGAAATCATTACTCTCTGACCTAAGGTAAGAGTCTGCTACACAAATAGTCAAGTCTTCCAGAATAATGTCTTAGGAGAAAAAAGTGACTGCATTGGTAGTTAAAACTGCCACTTTTCTAGCTGGGCCTCTCTAAATCTCAGGAGGATATTCCAAAGGGCCAAGGCAACAGACTGACTCATCCATAGCTGTCTTCTCAAGGCCACACACAGCAGGCCTGCTGTTTGAAGTTGTGCTTCCCAGCTCCCTGATTGTGCTCCTGAGGTTTTTCAGGAGTCCAGCTACCACATTTAAAGTCCCTGTGCTTTTTCTGGCTGAGTAGTTCCGTTAGTTGGAGTGTCATCCCGTACACCAAAAGGTTGCTGGTTCAATTCCCCGTCAGGGCACATACCAAGGTAGTGGGTTCAATCCCTGGTCAGGGCACTTACAGGAGGCAAGCAATCGATGTTGCTCTCTCTCCCTTCCTCTCTCTCTAAAATCAATACACATATCCTTGGATGAGGATTAAAAATAAATAAAATAAAATAAAATAAAAAAGTCCCTATACCTGGTTATCACTAATAAGTAAATTAGCTTTGGAAACATGTACATTAGCTCTGGATATGACCAAATTATGCTGTAAACAGCATCAAGGAAATAGAAAAGGATAGTGTGTTTCAGCCCTGCCCACCCCCACTGCCCCACCCTATAGTCCAAAAGGATGAAGGAAGAATGTGTGACCCAAAATATGTTTACTTTTAAAAAGCTGGCACTGAGGGCTTAGAGCCTGAACTGAGAGAGAGAGAGAGAGAGAGAGAGAGAGAGAGAGAGCGATTCTTGACAGAATAAGTCAGGGACTGGGCTTGGTAACTTCACGACTAAAAGCCCGAGTGCAGGCTGAGGTAAGGTGAAGTCCCCCAAAGAGCCCCTTGAACGGAGAACCCTGGCTCTCAGTGACACACATTCAACATCACCATCTAAGCCTAATCTGACTGTTCATTTTGTTTTCAAGAATTCTTCCAGGGCAATGGGAACTTCGAGTCCACAGAAGGAGACAGGGTTTAGAACCAGGAGACAGGCGGCATGAAGAGAAACCACAAAAGGGTTTGAATTTGGGGAAAGGAGATGAGCTGTCCCAGAATCCAATGTTGGGCCAGACCACTGGGCTGGATGGTCAGGGGAGCAGGTAATGAGGCACTTCCCTAAAAATAAGGAACCGTGAGCCCCTGGAGGGCGGGGCCAAGGTCAGGGGACACGTTCCTGTGTGGGGGAAGCTCAGGTGCCTGAGGGGGCAGTAAGGAAGAGTCCACCTTCAGGGCCACATCTCCGTTAGCATGGCCTTTTTCATCTCGCTTGGGGACAATTGATTCCTCTGATTTCTGGAGCTCTGCACAGACGATTAGAGGTGCTGTGTTTTTCCCTTCATCATGAAGGCAAGGTTCAAAGAAAGGGCGAAGGGGGCCAGAGAATGTGTGGGTGAAGGTAAAAATATGGGATTTGTCGGTTACATTGTAAAAGGAGATGATTCCCGCTTCGTAGTCCAGGAAAATTCCCACGCAGCGTGGGGGCTCTCTCAGGCGGAAGGAGGTCTGCGGGGATGTGAGAGCTTCGTACTGGTTCCCACGACTCTGTCGCACAAGCCAGTGTCCGTTGGCTGGCGATGCCGTGACCTTCCCCTTCCTGCTCACAGACTCACTGCACACCCCCAGGATCCATTTGGTCTTGTCCCCCACGTACACCTCCCAGTAGTGACAACCAGCTGTGAAACACTCAGAGCCTAGGACACTGACGACGAAATCAAACCTCTGGGGGTTGTCGGGCACAGGCTGCCTTCTGTCTCCAAGCTTCACACATCTGCAGTCCTTAGACAGGATGAGCTTGGGATGCGCGGTGTCGGGGTCCAGGGTCACCGCCACTGCAGAGAGGCACGGAAAGGTGAGGTTTGGGAAGGCTAGGTCTAGAAGGAAAAATAATTTTGGGGTCTGCACCCTCTGTCATTGGCCCATTTTAGTTCATGATTCCCTCTATCCCTTGTGTCCTGGAACCAAAGAAAAGTGTCTTCCAGTGTCCTGGGCCTCCCAGTCATGTATTAAGTAAAAGAAAAGAAAGTTTTTCCTCTGTCTGTGAAGATGCCTTAATCCTTAGGAAATACTGCTTTTGTCTTCGATGGTACAAAGGAAACTAATGTGTGATAATAAACATTGGCTCTGATGTTAGATCAAGAAGCCACACTGGAAGTTTGAGTCCCAGCTCTGCCACATGCTAGTTATGTGACCTTGGGTGTGTTATTCATCTCCAAACCTTAGTTGCTTCATCTGTAAAATGGGGAAAATGGCAGCTCCTACATTGTAGAGCTGTTGTGCACATCTGATGAGCTAACACATTAAGATAGCTCTTCCTTCACACAGTGAATGTGTGATGCTCATTTTGTTAGCTAAAATTATTACGTATGATTATCTGTAAATGTTAATACAGAGAGAAAGACTCTTCCTTAAAATTGTGGAAGGTCATGGTGAGTCTCCCTCCTGCCCCTAGTACAGAAAACAGGCTCTTCTTGGAGAGTTAAATCCGTGAAATGTGTACTTTGTCAAGGTGGTGGGAGTAAGCCAAACCGTGAGTGTGAGAGGGGCTTGGGGGCTCCCAGAATGTCAACCAACGTGACCTGGCGTGCTCTCAGGTGGCCCACTCATCAGTTTCACTGTACCTGCCTGAAGGAAGATGGCGTGAACAAAAGGGAGATGAACAGATAACTGGAAAACATCCTGGAAAACTGATAAGCCCCCAAGCAGTGAAAACAACATCTCATTGAAACAGCAGCAAAAAAATGCAAATATTTAGGAATAAATTGAAAGAGAGATGTGCAAATCTTTTAGAATAAAACTATTAAAACTTTTGTAGTCTACATTGTTGGGGCACCTGCCCATGCCATCCCTTCTCTGAGAATCTCAGCCACCAACCCCCAAGAAAACCGATCTGCAGAACAAGAAGAATGTGGCAGATACACAGATGGAGAGAGGAGCGCTGGCTGGTTACCCACTTGTGGGATGAGGAGAACTTCCGAAGCCTGAGAGCACAGAAGAAGCTACCCAGGAAAAATTTTTTAAATTTGACTACATAAAAATAAGACACTCATGCATCAAAAAAGTAATATAAGGACATTAAAATGCAAATGAAAAACTCAGAAAAATAATTTGTGACAAACAGGACAAAGAATTTCTACACTTTATATAGAAAGCATCTTCACAAACCAAAAAGTAGCCAGAATAGAGATAAGAGCAGACAAGTCATCAAGAAGACGTACAAATAACTAACAATTTTTTAAGTCTAACCGTGATCCTTCCCAAAAGTCACAAAGATTTTTAAAATTTTGATAAGTAGATAAACAGTTTTGATTAAAAAAAAAAAAAAGTTAGTCTACATTCCAAAGGAACAGAACACGCGGCTCCATAATGTGGAAGGATTTCATTGGTGTAACTTACCGAAGTGCAGCCGGGCCCTTCTCCAGCCTGGAAGACAGAAAAGCGACTGTAAAAGCGATGGAGAAACAGAGAAATCCCAGAGGGCTGCAGTCAAGCACAGTGACAGGGTATCTCACCTGAGTTGGCTGCCACTCTTTTCAACTCTATAAAAAAAGAAACAAGAAGAGTGAACTATCACTGAAAATATAGAATCAATAGGAGAGACGTGGGTTTGGAAGTTATAAGAACATAGGAAACTTACTCAGTTCACTCCGGAGTTTCTCTAAAGAATAAAAACAGTTTGACAGATCAGAACGAGGGCTTCCATATTTCCATAATGCCGTAGTCCCATCCCAACCACATTCCCACGTCAGATCCTCAGTGGCCATACCCTAAATGTCTGTCCCCACGCCAGTGCTTGCAACAGCAGTGGCTCCCAGTCACGCACCAGGAGTCCCCAGAGATACTGCATAGGGTCGGCAAATTACTAAGAGAGCCAAACCTGATTGTGGCTCATTCATCTCACGCATCTAAGAAACGACAATGTAAATGTACGTAGATGTTGTGATAGAATAAAATATAAGTTCATTTAAAACTATCACTGAGTTTCTATTAGATTTTCTTATGTATATTTTATCAAGGTAAAATAGACATGCCATGTCTGAAGACTTTTTTTTTTAATAAAGAGGTTCTCTTACATGAGATGGTGGAGAAACCCTGTTCCACATATTGGGTTTAATGAGGATCCATCCACCTTGGATCCACCTAAGGGAACTTCATGCCTGGTGATTGAAGGGCCTTCCAGATGGCTTCACCTACAGGAGCTATATCTCTTCTTGGTTAAACGTTTCCCATTTAGAGTCTAGGTAACTGTTGTACAGGGAAGGGGAGCAGGGAATACTTAAGAAAAGAGGCCATTGAGAGCCAAGAAATCTCCATCCTTATGACTTGAAATACTCTGGCCTCTTCTCTTCTGCCCCAGGAAGTGAAACCAAGGCCTCCATCCTAAAGCAAAGATGTCAGCTGTAGGAGCTCTGTGCCATGGATGAGAACTTACTGAGGGTCTTATTGAGCCTTCCTAAAAAAAGAGAGAAAAAGGCAAGAGTGAGCAGATGCCCTGCTTCATCCCCGAGCCCAGGAAGGCTCATCCGTCTGCCCCCCACAGCGGAAAGGATGAAGACCCTGTCCGCCACAGGTGCAGTCACACATCCCAGAGGGCGGACAGGGAAGCCCAGGTCTTCCTCCTCCCTTCCACTTCGTCTGGTTTCACTTCCGCTGTCGACATGCTTGTAACCGTGTGCACGTGAGTGTATGCCTCGCTGCCCTTTTATATCCTACTGTTGATAATATCCACAGTGGAGGCCTCATATGGACTTGTGGACACGGCTCTATTAGTCTCTACAGTAACTCCCCTGCAGTCCTGTGGAGAGGTTCACAGATTTGGAGATTCCAGATGGTTTGGGGGCATATATGTATGCTTCCCATGCTTCAGGGGAGTACTTGTGGCTTCTCCAGAGGGGTCACCAACTCCACATTTTCCCTAGCATCGGGCCCTGCCAGAGAATTGAAGTTGCACATTTTAGTCCGCTGCCAGGTGCCGTGCTAAGGACCGGCCATGTGTGAGGCATTGGGCACTGGGGCCACGAAGCTACATAAGATATGACCCCTAAGGCGCTCCTGGCTTATGTTTATATTAATGTTATTAATATAACTGGTATTATAATTATATGATGTTAAGTATATTATAATAATATTGATCATATTATTCATAGACTATGTTATTTATAGATAATGTTGATGTATTATATTTCCACTACTAATAGCCTCCATATATTGTGTCCTGTTCTCATAATGAGGTAGGCACTGAATCCTCTTGACAATGTGAGGTGCACATAATCATTATTCTCATTCTCCAGAGAGGTGGCCTGAGGCTCAGAGGGATATGGAAATTTGCCCAGGTCATACTGTTAGTAAGTGGCCAAAGAGGCAAGATTCAAGCCCAAGTCTGCGTGACTCCCCATTAGGGGCCTTCACCGCTGCACGCACACTGTGCCTCTACTCTCGGACAGAACAGCCAGAGTCCATGCGGTGTGCGCGCCCACACCCTCACCTGCTGGGGGATGTAAGGGAAGGGGAGAGGAGACGCCCAGACTCATTGCTTGCAGAACCATATCTGAGCCAGTGACCTGTCCTCTCAGCTAGGTTTTCAAAGGGCAGGGACCATGCCTATTTTTTTTTGTACCCTAGGTGTCTAACTTCCACCCGCAGTGGCCCAGCGCAAATATTCAATGAACGAAGATGAAATGGCAATATGGGGAAGGAGTTCCGGACACTATCATAGGAGAGTTTTTTCAGGTTTTCTCTTTTAACCCTGAAAACAATCAGCTGAGGGGATTCATGATCCCCATTTTATGGATAAGGAAACCAAAGCTCACAGCAATGAAGTGACACATCCAAGGCCGACCGATGACCTGACCAGGTGTCACCGACCCCCGAGCCTGTGACGCGCCCACTGTATCACACCACCTTTCTGAATGCGAAGGCTGTACAGATCCTTGAGATTCTCATACATCCCAGGTGAGCATATTCATATATCTTTAAATAGAATATAGACCCTCTTTGCAGGTGATGGGTGGAAAGGCTGATAAAGGGGGCTGATGATAACTCAGGCCTGTGAATTTCCACCATCAGCATCCGCTCACCCACAGCCACCAACCCCACAACTCCTTCAGACTGGAAGGTAAACTCCAATAATGTGAATGGAGGATACGCGTGCATGGGCCTGCATAATGTATGTATAATAATAGACTGTCAGCATTTATAGAAAAGGAGAATGAATATGTTATTTGTTCCCTACCCCTTATTCTCTACGTATAATTACCTTTTTCTTTGGCATGGTCTGAGAGAAGACTTTCTAGAGGGAGAAAAGTTTAAAAGAAAATGAGATTCTGTGCCATTACCTTAAAGTCCCTGACTCCTACTGATTTTACCTGCTATTGTCGCCCCGCCTCCCTGATCCCGGCCCTCATCATCTCCCATCCGGACGACAGAGACGAAAGTCCTTCACATGATCTGCAAGGCCTAGCCCCTGCCTGACTCCGCAGCCTCGCCCCAGTCCCCTTTCCCCTCGCTTCTGCACCGTATTTCGCTCCCCTGTCCTTCTGCTGTGGATAGTTTTCTGTTCCCTCTTCCCCCTGCCTGTCCATCCTACAGATCAAACAACACTTCTTCTGGGAACTCCTCTTCTGTCCCTGAGGTTTGGTTGGTTCCTCCTGGTCATAATCTTCACAGCTCCCAGGACTTCCATTCGAGGCATTAGTACCGTTGTGCTTTTACATTTAATTGTGTAATTATTTAATTCATGACTGAAAACTCCAGCAGGGCAAAGACTGTCTGCTTTTACTCACCATTCTACCCCTGGCATTTAGTGCAGCCCAGGGCACTTTTGTAGGTAATTATCAATTATTTGTTGAATGAATAAAAGCTTCCCCCATGTTACACCTACATGACTCCCACAGAATAAGATCAAGCAATGAGTTCACACATAAAAATCATCAAACATACTGAAAGGCAAGCTAGTACAAGTCAGAGTTAGCAAAGACTGGAAAACATAGGTATGGACCCCACATCACTGCTGCCACCAAGAAAAGCAGATGTTGGAATTTTCAGGTACAGAATTTAGATTAGTGGACACTGGAGACACACAAATGGATAAAACACAGAAACATTCCCACCTATTCCAGGACACTTACCTACCTCCATCACCTGTTCATAGAGAAGCTTCTCTGGAAGAGAGGAGAGAGAGAGAAAGATGTCAGCTCAGCTTAAGGAAAGGCTTTTTCGAACAGGCAGAGTTGTCCAAGGACAACAAACTGCCTGAGTAGGACTTTGCTCCTTGTCACTGTTGGTGCGTGACCATTTGAAAGGATTAGAGGGTCTTTAAACCATTAGATAGGGACAGAGGTGTTGGATGATGTGTCTTTCCAGGTGCCATATGACCCTGAGATTCTGTGAAGTGCGATCATATTTATGAGGGTTTTACCCAATGGATAGAATTGGATTTTTTAATTAATTAGAAGGCTGGCATGATCAGCTATTTTTAATTTCTCAAAAGGTGAGAATGCACAGCTCTTCCCAGGAGCTGTCTGCAGCTTCTTTGATCTTCTCTGCAATATGCATCCCAGAGCATCGTTCTGCCAGTTTTCTCCCAGTCAGTTGGGAGGGTCTCCAGCCTATGGCTAACCATCAGGTCTATGTCTCCTTCCTCCCAGCCTTTTCCTAGAGAAGCCACAGTCCTACTTCCGCGCTCCCTTACCACCTGTTACCTTTTGATCGTCTTTGCTTCCAGATGAAGCAAATGCCCACCACGATGAGAAGCCCCAGGACAGGCAGGATCACAGCAAGAGCCACTTCTGAGGAGGAGATCCTTCCTGGAGACGGGGCTGAAACAGAACCACCAATGACCACCCTCGCCAGATACCACAGAGCTTCTTCCAGGCCATGGGCCCTGCCTCATATGGAAGGTGGCTCAGGCCCATCCCAACTGTCTCTGTCACCTCTAGGAAGAGACCTCCAGCCAAGGCTGTTGAGACTCTTTGCTTCTCTCAGTAACTCAAACCCTGGATAACTCAGGGATGACTTTAAAGTAAGATGTTCATCTCTCAGGAGTGCTTTTGGTGGTCCTGCCTGAAGACAATAGGTTAAACTCAGCTTCCTAATCACAACCTCCTCTGTAGTTCACAATTCTGCAGACCACAGTCCTGCTCTGTAGCAAAACTACTTCTGTAGGGCTACAGCTACAGGCCTAAAGCCTAGGCAGGAAAAAGGAAAGAAGGAGAGAAGAAAAAGGGATCAGAGGAGGCGCTATGACAGTGGTGAAGGGCCTAAGCTGGGTGTGAGTCCTCACTCATCCACCGTGGGACCCTAGGCAGGAGATCAGGCCTCTCCAAGCCTGGCTTGTCATCTGTAAAATGGGGGTGCTAATGATCCCGGTCCCACTGGGTTGCTGGGAGATTTAAAGGGAGGAGGATGTAAAGTGCTTAGTACCAGTGAAAGGCAATGGCAGTAGGGAGAGAGGGGAAGGGGGAGAGAAAAGAAGAAAGGGATTAGCAGAGATCCATGATCACTCCTCACCTGGGACCCCAGGCTACACTGTCCTTCTTGGGTCTAAAACCACCCTTCTCTGCCACATGACTGCGTTTCAAGGGTCTTTAAAAGTTTATGACCCTTTGACCCATTAATTCTACTTTTGGAAACACATTCTAAGAAATAATCTGAATCACTTCCCAAATTATGTGCAATGATGTTCACTGCACTGTTAGAGGAAAAACTGAAACTATCCAGATGTCAAAAAATAGGGCTTTGAGTCCTGGATGGTATGGCTCAGTTGGTTGGGTGTCGTTGGCAAAGTGAAAGGTCGCTGGTTTGTGCCTGGGTTGTGGGTTCCGTCCCTGGTAGGGACATGTACGAGAGGCAACTGATTAATGTTTCTCTCTTGCATCGATGTGTCTCTCTCTTTGTCCTTCCCTTCCCCCTTCTAAAAATAAATTAACTAAATGTTTTTTTAAAAGAGAAACAGAGCATTGATTAATGTTACATGCTATACCCACACAATGAAATACTATGCAGCTCTTAAAAATCATGTTGTAGAGAACTACTTAAGGACACGGGCAAAAATTGCTCACGACCTTGTAAGTGGAGGGGGGGAAAATCACCCTAAGCAGAAGAATACATATACATAACAATGCACACTCAGAGATGCATGCATGAAAGAAATTCTTAAAAGAAATGCCCCAAATATTAGTAGTAGGTCTCTCCAATTTGAGAGGCCTTGTTTATTGTTTCTTTAAACTATTCTGTGTTTTTAGTTTTCTGCAGTAAACATGTTATTCCTAGTATTTAAAACATTCAAAAATTATTTATAAAGTTTCCGCTATGGTAATGTCCCAGCTTTTACCTGCTATGACCATGGCTGCGGTCTTCTCCTGACCAAGGACCACATTGCGGATGGTGCAGGACACTCTCCCCACGGTGCTGTCCCTGACTTTGCTGGATATCGCCGTTTCGAAGAACCCAGCTTCGTCCAGGGAAGGGGCCTCGGTCTCGAATGGAAGCACCTTGCCTTGAGGGTCTCTCCATTCGGCCAAAGGCTTTGGGAACCATCCCACCGACCTGCACACCAGCTGGATCCATCCAGCGTCGTAGCCCTTCACGTGGATGTAAGGGTCGGAGCCTAGAACTGGAAAGGAAAGCTGCCTGGCAGCGCCCAGGCAAGAGCCTGGTCCCCGCCAGAGCCCACGGCCGCAGGGGGTGAACAGGGGGCGGGGCTGTTAACTGCACCTGAATGCCTGCCCTCTCTCCACCCCGCCCTGCGCCTCCCAAAGGGATGAGGCAGTCTCTGCAACCCAGTACCTTTCCAAATGCACCCCTACAGGTAACAGCATCACATAATCCACTCCCCTTTGAAAAATGGCTAACCTGCAACCTGGAGGACCACGGTGCCCTCTCGACTCAGGTTTCCGATGTGTACCCGACATCGGTACGTCCCTCGGTCCTCCAGCCCGACGTCGCGGATCTCCAGTGTGACACTTCCCTTTTGGCCGTCGCTCACCAGCGCCGTCCGCCCTTTATATTCTGGAACCACGTCTTCCTCGCGGTCTTCCCCCTCCCGGAACACGTGAACAACCTGGGAGGGCCCGGGAGTCGGCGTCCGCAGCCAGCGCACCTCGGTGATCTCCTTTAGTGACCAGAGGGTGAGGGGGCAGAGCAGCTTGGCTGTGCCCCCTAGCGGGGCCAGGTAGAACTTGTCGGAGTCCCCTGTGTCGTGAAGACAAAAAAAAGAGGCAACGCGGTCTGGGAGGGATCGGAGAGCAAGAGCTTGGCAGAGGATGAAGGGGTATCTTGGGGAAGGAGAGAGCCCGAGAAGGTCATTGGAAAGCATTGGGGTTAGAGCAGAACCCCAGAAGAAAGAAAGCCTGTCGCCAAGCCTCCTTATTCTTGGGACTCCTTGGTCAGATGTGCCAGGCAGGGGAAGAGGTTCAGGAACTCCTACCTGAGAGGTGTATGGGCAGCTGGAAGAAGACGATTGTGATGAGGTAGCTGGAGAGCCAAGAGCCAGAGGAACTTGCCGTCTCCATTTGAACTAGGAGGACAGACAGGCAGACACCAGAGAGGGTTGGTGAGCTTGATGTGAGAAAGTGTACAACCTAGGAGGTGGGGCGGAGATACAGGCTGCGTAGCAGGCCTCTGGAATCACATAGATCAGGGTTCAAATCCCAGCTCTGCTACTTACCTCCGTGCAACATTGTGACTTAACTTCCCAGAGACTCTCTCTCTCCATCTTTAACATGGTTATCAATGTGCCTCCTTGCAAGATTATTGTGAGCTAGGAAGGAGGAAAGTGCTGAGCACAGAGGCTGGCATCGTGGTTGAGTCTATAAATTCTGCGAGTGAGGATGATGGTGCAGGTGAGATGGGTGAGGACCGAGTGTGCCCTAGAAGGCCTGGGCAAGCGTCTGGAAGGTGGAGAACTTATACCCAGACCTGGCCTGGTAAACACCAGAGTGCTGGCCTCTTCATGCCTTTCATGTCCCAGGCCAGGCTTGGGAAAGGCTACAGGCCAATCTTCCACCCACATGGGGCCTGGAGCTCTTCCCTGACTGCCCTTTCCATTTAACTCTCCAGAAACAACAAACTAAGGCAGCAAGGTCCCTTCATTTCATCACGAAGGCACTGATCCTATAAACTCTGGGTCTGGAGTTAGAAAGACCTGCGTTCAAGTCTCAGCTTACCCAGGCACTGCAATAGCTCTGTGTCCCTGGAAATTTGCATAAATCTGTGGGCCTCCAGGTCTTAATCTATAAAGGGGGAACCATCTACTGTGAGAGTTCAAAGAGGTTCAAAGGAATGTAAAGCACTTGCCAAAAACGCCTGGCAGAACAAATGCTCAACAAATGAGCTGTTATTCCTGAGAGGGGCAGGCACTGAGTGCAGAAACTACAGAAAGACCCTAAAGGGTTCCCCAACTACCTGACTACCTGAAATTCCTACAGCAGGAAGCCAATCTCTCATGCCACCATTGGGAAGAAGTTTAAATGTAAAAACACTCCAAGGAGAGATCATCTCCTACATTCTCTCCAAGACTGCAAATCTTTTCCAAAGAAGGGGGTTTTTGTAAAAGTTATCAGGCCAGGTCCCTATAGGTCTTGGAATAGGGCAGAGATGGGACTTGGAGGAGGTGGGGTTGTCAGAGAGAGAATGGGACACTGAAGATGGACTTAACCTTTGAACACATTTCCAGTTCTGTTTTTCTTGTTGCCAAGAGCACACTGGTTTAAGGTTGTTTTTGTTTTTTAATCATGATGCATATTGTACACTCTTCTAATCCCCCAATGTTGCAAATGGCAACACAGCAGTAGGATACAATGAGGTTAAGATTACTGTTAGAATATATATATATTGCCTCGATCCCACATACTTTTTTACAGGTTGCCAGCTACTCAGAAACTGAACAGGAGAAATTAGGTAAAAGAAAAAAATCTCCCTTTTCACTGAAGGTGGAAATTGGCAGTGCCCCGGATCCCCTGGAGATGCCCGAGCCCTCCAAACCCTCAATTAAAAGATGTTTTTGAAACACTCCCTGGGTAGAGGTGGCCAGAATGACACAGAGCTCCGAACTGAGCCAGGGCTGCCTGAAACCAAAGGGCAGGAGCCCGCCCCTGACCATGGCCCCATCTTCCTAAATTCAGCTTGTTTTTTAAGTGATGAAGAGACTGTGCTCCAGAGTCAGCCTGGGGCCAGGCCATGGCTCTGCCATTACCTGGCTGTGTGACCTTCAACGGTCTAGTTTACCCCTTCAAGCCACCTCTCATTCACACATGAAATGAAGTTAATAATAGTACCTACTTTGTAGATAGGGCTACAGTAAAGAGTCATAGAAAATACATGCGAAATGATTTGTGCCAGATTCTAAGAATAAAAAGGCAAACGAAGTCCTTCCATCAGATTGCCACTCCTTGTAATGAGGGCAACTGAGGTGGCTTTAGCAGAGGAGCCTCCCTAAAGCACATTATCACATTACTGATTCATGGTAAGCACCCAAAGGAACAAACTAACCCAGCAGAGGATGACATCAGAAATAGGACTTCTACTCACTAGGCATCTGAGACATGCAAATTAAGACCACAGTTAGATATGATTTGTCTTCCTTCAAATGATCAAATATTAGGAAAAAAATAATACCCAGAGTTTATCATATGTGTGGGCAAAATGACTTTCTAGCCCATCGCTAAACAACTTTCACAAGGATAATCTAGCAGTAAGTATCAAACGATTTACAAATATGCAAAAGTTTTAATACAATAATTTTACTTCCAGAAAAGAATCTTACAGAAATAAATAAGAATGTGCACAAGGATTTGATGGTGAGGATGCTCATCACAAAATTATTTATGAAAAGGAAAAATTGAAAACAACCTAAAAGTTCATTAAAATGGGAACAATTAACTTGCACATTTTTGCAATGAAACACTAAGGAGCATTTCACACTCACATGATAGAACAATCTTTAAGGGCACTGGGAAGTTTTCACTGTAATTCAAACAATAACATTAAAAAGCTCTGGATAATATGATACAGTTTAGGGAAAAGATGCTTGGAAAAAAGGCAAGAATGTAGATGTTTAGCAGTGGTTACTTCTCAGGGAGGGGAAAACCTTTGCAACAGAAGTTCACTTGATAACTCCAAGCAACTTAAGAAAACCTTGCAAATCTACACATGATCAGTTTGAAAGCACAGGACCTGGATAATAGTTAGGGCTAAATAAATGATAACTATTTAATTAATAGCGATGACGATAATACTGAAATGAGTCTTTAGACAAAACCCATCCAGTCCCCTTGTCACTCATCCCCTTTTGTGCTCATTTCCTGTTGCCTCGTTTTGTCCTTTAAAACGTTATCATGAGTAAGGAGAAAGGGGATAGCTTCTCCAACGAACCTGAGCATCCTGAGAAAGTTAAAGGAAAATTAAAAAGAACGAAGAGAGGACAGAGGAAGGGAGACTCACCACCTTAAGAATCAAGGGTCCTTTGTTCATCAGAGCTGGAGTCTCCGCGCTGTGGACGCTCCCTCCCTCCATCCAGGGAGATCAGGCACTAGGCAGAAGGATCAGGGAGGGCTCTGGAGGTGAGCCTGGGAAAAGTTCACCTTTTATTCTGATGCCTGCAGTCCCCAGCCAGGGGCTCCCTCTCTCAGTCCCACAGACTCCCTCCTAGCTGTCCTTATACACCAACAAGCCACACCCTGCCTGTCTGCCCCTGATAAGGGAACAGAGCAAAGAGGAACCTCCCTTAAAAAAACTGAGAGGAACTCCAAGTGCCAGAGTGCCACCAAGTGTGAAGGACCCTTGGCCCTCAGCGCCCTTTCCCTCCCAAGCTAACTGCATAGTGATTCCCCTTCATACGTTTTGACCCTAAATCACCCTTTCTGAAAAGCTTGCTCCCATTACTCTCCATATCTGAGTAAAACTGTAGATTGGTTTCAAAGCCATCCACCAATTAGCCACCTTCTTTGACTCACTACCTTTATCTCCAGCTGCACCCTGATGTGCGCTTTCTGACAAGCAAACTTGCTCCCTTCCTGCCCATATTGACAGCTCTCATAATATCCATTAACTGTATATCCATAACATCCATAACTGCGTCCTTAACAATGCATTATAAAAACAAACAAAACAAAAACAGACTCATAGAAACAGAGACCAAAGGGATGGTTACCAAAAGGGGGTGTGTGTGTGAAAAGATGGGTGAAAAAGTGAAAAGGAATATAGTCAATAATATTGTAGTAAGTCTACATGTGACAGATAATTATTAGAATGGGGGGGTGATCACTTCGTATGGTATAAAAATGTCAAATCACTATATTGTTCACCTGAAACTAATATAACCAATATAAGATTGTATACAAACTACACATAAATAAAATATAAATTTAAACATAGCTATTTCTGGGAAAGGCAATGAAGTTGATGAGAGGGAAGAGAGAGAAGAGAAACTTTTGTTTTTTCTCTTCATGGTTTTTACAAGGACTACATATTATTTATATTTAAATAGTAAAATACATATGGGGGAAACCCCAATGCATATACTTTTATATATTTTTTAAATTATATTTTATTGATTATGCTATTACAGTTGTCCTGATTTTTTCACCCTTTGCACCTCCACCCAGCACCCCAACTCCCTCAGGCAATCCCCCGTCATTGTTCATGTCCATGGGTCATGCATAAAAGTTCTTTGGCTACTCCATTTCCTATACTGTATTTTACATCCCCAAGGCTATTCTGTAACTACCTATTTGTATTTCTTAATCCCCTCACCTCTTCACGCACTCCCCAATACCGCCCTCCCACCTGGCAGCCATCAAAACATTCTCCCTGATGAAGACCATATCCATGATGCTATCTGTTCTTCTTGGTGCTGAGTTTGATTTCTAGATTCAATTGTTGGTATTTTTTGCCATTTTGTTGTTCATAGTTTTGATCTTCTTTTTCTTCCGTAAGCCCCTTTAACATTTCATAGAATAATGGTTTGGTGATGATGAACTCCTTTAGCTTTTTCTTGTCTGGGAAGCTCTTTATCTGCTCTTCAATTCTAAATGATAGCTTTGTTGGGCAGAGCAATCTTGGCTGTAGGTCCCTGTTTTTCATGACTTTGAATATTTCTTGCCAATCCCCCCTGGCCTGCAAAGTTTCTTTTGAGAAATCACCTGACAGTTTTATAGGAACTCCCCTGTAGGTAACTAACTTCTTTTCTCTGGCTACTTTTAAGATTCCCTCTTTGTCTTTAACCTTTGGCATTTTAATGATGATGTGTCTTGGAATGGGCCTCTTGGCATCCATCTTATTTGGGACACTCGGTGTTTCCTGGACTTTAGTGTCTATTTCCTTTAAGGAAGATTTCTTTCATTATTTTTTCAAATAGATTTCCAATTTCTTGCTCTTTCTCTTCTCCTTCTGGCACCCCTATGATGTGACTGTTGGATCTCTTGAAGTTGTCCTAGAGGCTGCTTATATCATCCTCATTTTTTTGGATTCTTTTTTCTTCTTGTTGTTCTCATTGTTTTTAGGTTCTTTATGT